ATTCACCATAATTTCAAAATAAATCCCACAAAGTTATCCATTCGTCCTTTTTGCACTAAGTACAGACACAGGTGCATAATCTGAAACTCAAACCCGATCCCATGGATATTTTTATATTCACTTCCTCAAAGCACCACAGAGAGCTGCAGAGGACTGTAACAGCTTCCTTGGGAAATCCCACCTTAATTTTACTCAYGGGAAAACTGAAATAATGGAACTGTTTGGAATACCTCAACATCCCAAATTCTAATAACACGTAATGCAATGGTATGAAAAAGTATTTGAGACAAGCATTCTGAAATTCTGTTGGAAATGTGACATATTTTCATTAGGACTCCATAAAATAAGTTACTTAAGACAGCTCCTGTTCAATAACAGTCAATACCAGCTCATTTGATTTTAAATGTACTGCTAAATCATTRCCTAATACTGCTAAAATCATTACTTTTTTTCCTGCTGTTTAACTTTTTTGGTCACTTTTTTTCCTATGATAAGCTGCTTTAGGATAAAACTGCTGTGAAACTGTCTTTGAAAGGTATTCTTTGAAAGGTATTATTGTAGATATACCCACTTTTCCTGWAATGTTCCTCACAAAAGCAGCTCATCTAATAGTTTTCCCTAATGCCACACTSTAGCAGGAAATTACACCACTTACTGGAGATTAGGCCTTATTTTGCTGCAGGCGGAGAACATCTAAAGCACCACCAATCAAACAATCGAATACTGTTACATCCAATTTGTAGATACAAAACGCAAGATTTGAAAAAATAATATCATGTGACTCAACTCTCAGAAAAAGGTTATTTCACTGAATTTTCTGAGTTCTATCCTCTGATTAATACCAAYCTTCTGGAAGACTGATACCTGTGTGTAATTCTGAGAAACACGCTGAGTCCTGTAGAGGGGCTCCCAAGGAGCTGTTTTCACCTGTACATTTCCTCCATAGCTGAACCAACATGCCCTGTGCAGACAGACGCCCAAGGACAAAGTACTTACCAGGCAATGAGAGAAGAAACTGTGCTACAGACAGGAACCCGCAATTAAACCAGAATTGCTCTGTTCCTGCAAGAATGACRCATCTGTGCAACCCTCTACAAAAAACAATGTGTTGACTTGCTATTTTATAGACAGTAATGACCTTTACCAGGTCAACTAATAAATTTATTTACTCATATGGTATTTTTTTTTTAAATAATGGCATATATATATTTTCATKATGTATCCTGTTCTAATGACATCAATGTACACAAAAATCAAAATTCCTAAATKAAATTTTAAATGCCTTAGATTAAAAGATTAAAAATTATTAAAGTAATTTTCTATTTTTCAAAATTTTAGCCATTACTTGTAGAGAATGGGTAGAAACCAGCAAGACCTTCCTGAGGTGTACAATTTCTGTATTTCCAAGATTGTTGCCAGAGGGTATATGCTAATTCTCTGGTTTATTTCAGCCCTATCAGAAAATAGCAACCACCATATAATTGTAGCCATAATGCAAGCTTCCTTTTTATCACTTCCTCTCTCTGTTTTTCCATATCTAGGTCTCCCCAAACCACCTTGACTCCAACATCTCCCCACTTTTGGTGCCTCCTCTAAACATACCTCAAGACTTTTAAAATTCCAAAATGCTTCCCCTTATGCATCCCATAACATCCCACAAGACTTTTAAAATTCAAAAACGCTTCCTTCTATGTATCCCATAACAAGTCCCAAATGCTAGCAGGCATCAACCTTGCAGAGCGATCCAAAAAGTCCCTTACTCCTTGGGCTGGCCATCTCCATCCTGCCTGTTTCTCTGTTTCCTTTTTGTTTTCTTCCTTTTCTTTATTTTTGTTTTTAAACAGGGACACAGTTTCTAGATTTATGTTTCTGTGTATTACAAATTATTRACATACGGATGATTTCCACACATGATTTTTCATCATTTTGGAAGTGACATCTCAGTRGGCCTTTCTCTTCTCACACTGTGCTCCAGCCATATGCTTTATGCAAKTTTAGTACTTTCTCTGATGAACATGACAGTTTTGCAAGCTTTTACAYAGACTATAAACTATTTGGACTATTAATGGTACCTGTATTGAATTTTCCCTGGCATCTGTTGCTCACTGCAGAATACACGTGTTGAGATCACAGATGAAACACTGGAGAAAAGGGCACTCATATCATGTAAAGTTTTAACTACACCACTTCTTGCTCTTAGTTTTATATGTCTGAGCAGAGTAAATGACCACTTAGGGCAACAATATGCCCCTTTAAAACACTCTGTACTCGACACACAACAAATCTGATTTCACGTGCACTCCAAATGCTGCTTTTAATCTCTCATATGCAAAGAGAAAAATATTCAATGCATTTTTCCTACAGTTCATGACTGAAAGCTATCATACCCATTCGTAATCTTTTCCTTGAAGTGTGTATCACCATGAAGTGTATGTGACCACTAACTTTTAAAATAACCTATGTACTTTTGTTCACCTTATTTCTATGACGAGACCTCACAGCAAGGATGGAATAACAATATGGAAACTAACCATCTAATCCAACTGGACACATTTTATTGAAGTCTTATTACTTCCATGTGTAAGAAGAAAATAAAGCCAACTGCAATCCTCAATTTTTGGCATTCTCAGTATGCATTGTATCCAGAAAACGAGAAATTCACTTTTTGTTTTCATTTTTACAGCACAGTGATAGTAGACATATGGACTTAACTTTAGAGATCAGGATTTTTAACTGAATAAGAAAAGCAAGGTCCTTATTATGCCTAAAGCAATACTGTTCYTTAAAAAGTTGTAATACTTTTTATTTTAATCTCTTTTGCAATATAATCTTTAAAGTAACTTATATCAAAATTTTAGTATGGACGATAGAGTCTTTAAGAATGAATATACAGAATAACAACAATACGGTTATAACACAGTGTCAAGTCAGTCAATTCATATGAAAGAAACTTGTCATGGATAAATGCAATGCCAAAGAGTTATATTCCAATATATTCTGAGGGATCCTATGTAATAGACCAATAGTTCTTAAAATACAAAGCCTAGTTTCCTAAGAAATATGAATATAAAATGATGAGCAACCATATTTAAATGATTTTTTTTCAATTTTGACCAAGATAAACAACCATTCAGTAAAGCAATTTTAACTTTGCTTTCTAAACAAGYGATATTTGTCAAGATATATCTCTGATATGCAAAACAACACCTCAAGAAGGATCAATCAGRTAAGTAGCTTTCTCAGACGAGTTTTGAGGAAATTAAAAACTCATGTTGTAATTTTAGCAATAYACTGGGCATCCCATGTTCTTCTGATGATATATACTGATAACATTTTTTAGCTCACTTGCTTACTTTTTTGCCCAAGACATACACTTTCCTTTGTTATCTGGTAGATCTTGACTTTGCTGCACACCTTAGAATAATTTTCTCCTGAAGTGTTGATAATAACAYAAAACGATAGAAGACAGGATCTTTCGGTTATGTTTATTTCCCATTTTTTGTGAGAATTTATAAAGAAAATTCATTTTCTACACTCACAGCTGGCAGTACCTTATGACTTTATCAGCCCTAGTTTAATCAGACTATCTACAAAAGAAAGGAGATCAAATGTTAATTATTTAGAAGGATGAAAAATCATGGAATGGTTCGGGTTGGAAGGGATCTTCATCTAGTTTCAACCCCCTGCCATGGGCAGGGMCATCTTCAACTAGTCCAAGTTGCTCAGAGCTGTATCCAMCCTGGCCTTGAACATTTCCAGRGATGGGGCATACCCAGCTTCTCTGAGCAAGCTGTTATAGTGCCTCACGACCTTCAAAGTGAGGAATTTCTTCCACWTATTTCACCTATATTTCCCTTCTTTCAATTTGAATCCATGACTCYGTTTCTCATCACTACAGCTCCTRATGAAGAGTTCTCCAGCTTCCTAGTAAGCTGCTTTCAGATACTGGAGGGCTGCTGTGAGGTCTCCATAGAACTAAATATTTGATTCTTAGGGGAGAAAACATTTTGGTAGAAAAAAATAATTTACCTTAATATAATTACATTAAAATTAGTACAACTACTCTTTAAAAGAAACTGCACCACAAAGGTAAAGAAACACAGTATTCTGATTCCTWCCACACATTTAATTCAGAATTACACTTCCAGAACTAGTAACTCTATTTCTTCCTATAAAAAGGCTAATTACCAGACTTTAATTACTGCCTACATGGTTTGCACTTTGTGAATTTTACAATCCCATTTCTTTCTAGTCCTATAATTTAACTATTCTAGAATAATCAAAAAAGAGTAATCTGATAGTGATGGACACAATTAAGATGTTTCTACAAAACAATACAACTGATGTGYATAGGAAATAGATCAAGTTAAGGGGAAAATTTTCATGCAGGTACAGACATAATGTACATCAGAAAGCTCAAAAGGACTTCCAAAACCCAGTGCTCCAGATACAGTCGATACTAATGCACATCTCAGCCCTTCCAAGCTGTTCTCTGTCTATGAGCTCAACACATGCATGAGCATCACCACAAACACATGTGAACAACTTCTGCAGATTCCTTTTCTAATGAGGTCTCTGAACACTGTGTCAGTCACACTTTGTTATACTCTACTGGACCTGAGTGTTTTTTCTGTGTCTGATTTCAACATTCCGAAAATGTTCTTTTTAAGAAGCTCAAGGGATAAGCATATGAGAAAAATAGAAAAGAACATTAAAAGCAGAACTACACAAGAAGATTTTTACCCTGCATCTTACAGTGCWCATTCTCCCTGCTTTGCAGTGAAAGTTAAATATCTAGCTTAGCAGACACTAYGCACAGTGCCTGGCAGGTACATGATTTCTCAACTATTCACATAAAGTAAGGCAAGCATCCACAAAACTGAAAAAGAGAATAACATTAAAAAAAAAAAAAACAACCCTCAACTTTTAATGTAGTGTTAGGTATTTCTTCTACAGGGAAACATATTCAGGCATGCAGAACACTTAAATAACCCACGTACCTGAACTGTGGAACTGATTTCAGATGCAAATCCTCCTGTCAAGGGAGCCTCGTGGCTAATCAGCAATCGCCCAGTCTTCGCCACCGACTGAAAAGAAAAAACGAATGCTCAAAATGACATCAAATTACAGCTCTTACAATTTCTTACTTGTACCACTTGCAGAATATAATAAGTATGTGACTTTGTTAGCAGTGTTAGAACATAGCTAACCTCTTGCATTTCCAGCAAATGATAAATTATCCTAAAATACTAAATTGAGTCATTACTAGGATGTTTCTATAAWATATAAAAGTACTTTTATAATATATAGAAGTACTCACATTTTCCATTCAATTTTAAGCACATATCAAGAAAAAATTGGAACCTGTTTTATATTAATTTAMCCTATCAATACACACTGCAACATTTCTGAAATAGAGTAAGGATTTTAACAAGTAGCCAGTAAAAATCTGAAWCCTCAAAATACTAAAAGACACATACATAAAGAAATCCTTCACTGATACCTCTCTACAAACTGATCCTATGTAAAGTCATGAATCATTGGTATTCAGAAATTAAAATTGCTAAATAAAAATTCTGGCATGAAAACATGTGAATTAGTGCTGCATATTTTAATTTTACATGGCAATTAGARGTACCATTTTCTGACTTTAGATTTCAATGTTTGTGTAGTTTTGATGTGATCTACTTCACAGATAAATAAACGGCATAATATATACAGATGATCTAAGCACCTTTGATCAAAAAAACAAAACTGTGCTCATTGTGAAACATAACAATGAAAGCAAAATATTTTTAATCTGATAGGAAAYATAAAGCTTCACCACACACAAATATAATGATGTTTATTTCAGCTATGTTAAATTGCCTGAAATAAACAGTATCAGATACCTTTAGTATGAAACATGGCAGCAAAGCCTCAGCTTCCATAATACTATTATAAATAAAACTATTATAAATAAAAAGGCTCATAAAATTTCATAAGTTTCCAGATATGCATATCAGAAAAAAAAAAAGAAAATCAGATTATTGTATATATTAATCTTTCAAGAACATTTACAGTCTGCCATTTAAGATAAGAACATAGTGCACTGCTGGTCTAACATTAGTCATAAAGTGAAAAGCCCAAGACAGCACTCGCTATCAGATCAGACCTTCTGAATACTGTGATCTTCAATTTAATGTCTACACCAGCACATTCCCCAGTCAGGCAGCTCCATGTTATCTACATAATAGCATACATAAAGGCAATGCCCTAATTATGCAGCTTTCTCTCTTATTCAAGTATTTTTCTAATTCTTTTGCTTTTCTAGCAAAGACTCAATCACTGGCTCTAAGCAGTTCATCCAGAGATGCACTGGCAAGTCACATGCTATGAACACGTTCCATATACTGTATAATGAAGTGGCTTGAAAACATTCAGAGCTAAATAAGTCAGAAAAAGTAATTTCACCAGTTGGAACTAATCCAGTTACACAGAGTGATTTCCTGACTATTTTTTTGCCAGCACTGGAAACTCATATCTAAAGGAACAGAGGTACTAACTGCACTATAAATCTGTCTAGTATATCAAAACAACMGTTCAATGAACAAAATGTACACTCTGGTTTTGATATGATAAAACTGATACAATCAGGTACAAGTTGCTATAGTAAAACTGATACAACTATTCAATGCTAAAGTTGAGTTTGGTTGTTTGGGTATTTTTAAATCTTCATATATTTATTCTAAAGAAAGCTTCTTTTGCATATATTTTTTCTGAAAGGTTCACATTTTGATACATTACAAGCCATCAATAAAGTTACAGATTCCTTCATTTCTCAGAATAGGATAGAGTATAATCAAACACTGTTAGAAAGCATATAGGCAAATTCAGATGGGGTCAGACCAGTAATCCAGCAGTCCAGTGATTTATCTCCCCAAAGAGAAACTGTAATGTTTAGGGAGAATAAGAAAAGGGCCTTCACTGTGTTTCAGCCTCCAATAATTTTCACATCACCAGTTTCCTGAATCCAATATGGYCTTTTGCACTAAATAATTAATAACTTCTATTTCATCTGTTCTAAAATTGAATCCATGTAAACAATAAAGAAAAAGGGGRGTCAAGGGGGGAAGGGAAAAATAATATCTTTCTGGAAACCTGCTTCTACTATGTGAGGAATCCTTACATATGATTCCCATGGACTTTGAGGACTCCTTGTCTGCAGAAGCTTGCCAAGAGTAAACAAGCAGCTGTGATCACCAAGTTTTGGATACAAATATCTCACCACTGCTAAAACACACTATATATACATCACTCTTGGTATAAAAACATACAGAGCTTTTGTGCTTTTAGTACCCATCCTAGCCTCATGAGTTTTTGAGGAACACATGCTATCTTAAGTATTTCTAATGTTTGTAAATGCATCATACCTATTGGTAAGTTGTTCCAGTTTTTAACTCCCTTCCTAGTTACAATTTTGCACCTTATGTCCAAACTAAATTGGCTGACATAACTTCAAAGCAACTGTTTCTTGTTTTATTCCTGTTTGCTAGAAGGAGACACTATCCATTATCACATTTCTGCTCTCACATAAATACATTTAGACTGTGATCAAACGGTCTCTTAACCACAATTAACCAGACTAAGCTCTAAATCTTTCAGCAAACAGCACACTCCCAATTCCTTCATCATTCTTACAACCCCACCCTGAATCATCTCCAGTTTTCTATGTTCTTCTTGAAGCACATCCGTCTGGAACCAGCATTCTAGATTATTTCAGAACACCACCAAATACAGCCTCAGTACTGCAGCTCTTGGATGTATGAGGCCTATTGGCCAAAATATAACAGGACAAGTCCAGCTTTTACTGATAACTGCAACTCCCTGTTTCAGGGAAAGGGAGTTAAAGGATAATTGCTTCCTGGAATAAAGATGGAAATACAGTGTACATTTATTATCTCAAAACAAGATTAYATTTGGATATGCTAAAAAGTATCTTATGCGCCTGAACATAGCTCAGTTAATGAGCTTATCTTCTCTTTATCAGTAACTGAATGTCTATTTCATCCGTTCCTTATCTGTTTGTTACCTCTAATTTTTTATCAAGTAACGGTTTAAAATGTTTTCCACATATTTGACCAAAACATTAAAAAAACAGATTCAAAATCCAGCTTAGCAGGACCTTGAGACTGCACTATTTCCAGTGACTAATACTGCTTTTCTATGCCATGCAGTCAGAATCAGTACAGCTAAGATCAGTATTAATGTCTTACTTTTCAAACTATGATAATTTCTTTTGTCAGGTATTTCCAAACAACACTGAATTGTTGATCAAGTATTTCTAATTATTTTTAAATAGCTGCTTCTTCCTTGATACTTTCTTCCTACTTTATGGGTCATTTTCCCTAAATGATTTGGCACAATTGTTTTGTGGAAAAACTGCTCCATAAGGTATCAGACTAATAAATTCTGATCAAGAGATACTTTCATTCAGCAAGCATAGTGAGACTTCATATGCCCTCTTAATCTTAATAATGATACTGTTTTTTCTATCTTACATATGACAGCATTATCCATTAATAACAACAGACAGTAGCAAAAGATGTGATTCTTCTAAACACAATTTTAAAATATATGTTACATAAAAAAATATAAAAATGTTTCAGTCCATACAGCTTAGAACAAAACCTGACCAAAAAAACCCAGTATTTTCACACATTAGTAGTGTCCTAGAATGGCAAACTTAATTAATTCCTACATCTCCAAATGAAATTTAATCTTATTTCCTGGAAGCAAAATAATTGATCAGTTAAAAGTGAAAATTTCAAAACTAGCTGTTCTGCTATCTACATGGCACAGTAGACATGGTTAATGATTATTTGCAGGTATCCGTGCTCTTCTACAAGACTTAATCCAACTTTTTTAATCTGTGGCAAAAACATTAGACCCTGTTAATTTAAATGGGGTAATCATTCAACCTCTAGRATAATCAAAGCCCAATACTCAGAAGAGCATTTACAATTAAATGCAGCTCAGTCATATCAAGTAATATGGTCCTCAACCTTTAAACTTAATAGGAAACACACTGCATAAAACTGGAGAAAACAGTCGCTAAATCTGTACAGCGCAGCAAATTGGCCAGCATAGWATCCTTTATCCTCATTTTCTCACCTTTTCAAGAGGTGCACAGATGGAGTGGTTTTTTWAAATCTGTATTAGCGAGAGAAAATGATGGCTTTTCAAAGAACAATGTATTTTGTCTTCTCATAACCAGAACACTTGTATTTGCGTACAAGCTTGGTTCTCTTCCATTTCTACAACATCCCCATTCTGTCTTCCAAAACCCCAGCATTCACACTTTTTCTTACCTAAGTAAAAAATTAAAATTTTGAAATGCWTGCACATTCTGCAGCTCATGAAGAGTACTTTTGAAAATATATCTTAAAAAAATATGTTACAGCCTAAGAGAACAGCACTGATGAAAATATTCCTTCTTTACAAYTAGGTTGCTTGCTGGTCTTTAATGTCCAGATATACTTCAGAGGACACCAAATGATTCTGTATGTACATCATGTCTCAAATTAAACAAAAATCAACATTTTTTTTCCCACTTTTAGTAACTGACCACAATGAGAAATCAGTGTCAACATCCAGGCATTTAGACAGCATGAGCTTTTCTTGGTGTCATGGTCACTCTCTGCTGTCACAGACAAGTTCAGATGATACAGTCCTGGGCTTCCAAAAGGGAGAGGTCCTACCCTGCCCACAAYCTCTTTTTCACAGCCCATCCCTGACATCTCTTCAACAATGAGAGGGCCACAGGGAAAGCCCATTGAAGGGGATAATCTGATTTATCCTTTAGTTAGCACAGAGCAACAAACACCACTTCAGAGGCAGATTTAGAGATGGAAGGTACATCAAGATTTGCTCAGAAAAGGCTTCAATAGTGGTTTCTCCTTCTGGAAGGCAGCAGACACCCAGGTTATGGCACACCTGGGTCATAAAATGTCACCTCTGCTATGTCCAGTCTTTTAAGAAGAGACTCTAGAGCTTAAAACTATTAAATTAGTCCCAAAACAAAACCAGAAACCAATAGTGACTATAC